GTCTCTGAGGGATTTGGGGCTCTGAGGGATTTGGGGCTCTGAGGGGGATTGGGGCTCTGAGGGATTTGGGGCTCTGAGGGATTTGGGGCTCTGAGGGGGATTTGGGGCACTGGGGAGGATTTGGGGCGCTGAGGCGGCTCGCAGCACACCGGAGGGGCTCGCCGGGGGCGCGGCGGGCTCAGGCGGGGGTCTCGCCGCGCTCCCCCTCCCCAGCGCGGCCCGGCGGACGCGGAGCCATGAGCCGAGCCGGGAGGGTCCCGGGCCGGGGCGCCGCCGTGGCCAGGCAGGTGCGTGTGACCCCCGGGACCCCCTGCTCCCCTCGAACCCTCTGGGGGATCCCTGGGGCTGGGGGCGACCCCTCCCTGCGGGACCCCTCAGCGTGCCCCCCGCCCCAGATGGGGCTGCTGCCGGGTCCCGGTGCCGGGGGGAGCCCGGGGGACGCGGACGGGGACGGGGACGCGGCGCTGGAAGCGGAGCTGCTGCTGCTGCTGGGGGGCCGGGAGGCGCCGGAGCGGGGGGCAGCGCCCCAGCCCGCCCCGCGAGGTGAACCCCCCTCCTCCTCCAGCGGGGACCCGCTCCCCCCCACAAAGGGGGGTGGGATGGGCACTGGGACCCCCCAAAATGGGTTTGTGACCCACCCCGTGCCCCCCCAGATCTGGCAGCAGTGGAGGCCCTGGCCCAGCTCTGCCTGCGGGACCCCCCGGAGGAGGAGGAGGAGGAAGGGGAGGAAGATCTGGATAACGAGGAGGAGCTGCTGGTGAGAGGGGAAGTGCTGAGCTTGGAAAAGGGGATCCCTGAGTCTGGAAAAGGGGATCCCTGAGTCTGGAAAAGGGGATCCTTGAGTCTGGAAAAGGGGATCCCTGAGGCTGGAAAAAGGGATCCCTGAGGCTGGGGAAGGGATCCTGCCCAGGCTGGAAAAGGGGATCCTGCCCAGGCTGGAAAAGGGATCCTGCCCAGGCTGGAAAAGGGATCCTGCCCAGGCTGATTCCCAGGATCTCTGGGCAGGCAGAGCTGCAGGAGGTGCTGGAGGAGGGGTCCGGGAGTCCAGCGGACGCAGAGACCCCGCAGGTACGGCTGGGGTGATCCCAGTGCCCACCCCAGTCCTGATCCCAGTGCTCCCGTGCCCCTCCCAGTGCCCATCCCAGTGCCCATCCCAGTGCCCATCCCAGTGCTCCCAGTCCTGATCCCAGTGCCCCTCCCAGTGCTCATCCCAGTGCCCATCCCAAATTTCATCCCAGGGCGGATCCCAGGGTGGATCCCGGAGGTGTTCCTGGTGCTCCCGGTGACCCAATGTTCCCTGTACTCCTGGTGCTCCCAATGTTCCCTGTACTCCCTGTACTCCCTGTGCTCCCAATGTTCCCGGTGTTCCCAAAGTTCCCTGTGCTCCCGGTGCTCCCAATGTTCCCTGTACTCCCTGTGCTCCCAAAGTTCCCGGTGTTCCCAAAGTTCCCTGTGCTCCCGGTGACCCAATGTTCCCTGTACTCCTGGTGCTCCCAATGTTCCCTGTACTCCCTGTACTCCCTGTGCTCCCAAAGTTCCCGGTGTTCCCAAAGTTCCCGGTGTTCCCGCAGGATCCCGCGCCCGCCGGGGCGCTGCTGGCCGAGCTGGAGGAGCGGGCGCAGCTCTACCGGGCTGCCCTGGGGAACAACGGGAGCAGCAGCGGGAGCAGCGGGGCCCGGCTCCGGCGCCTCCAGCGCGGCCTCAAGGTGAGCCCAGCCCGTCAAACCCTTGGGCCGACCCTGGCTCCGCGCTGCTCTTCCCAAATACCGAGCAGCTGGTCGCAGTTCTGAACCAGTCCGGCCTGAATCTGAGCGGTTTTGTGCTGGTTTCCCCAGTGCTGAGCCCACTTTTGTCTGATTTTCCCAGTTCTCAGCCCACCTTTGTCTCACTTTTCTTAGTTCTGAGCCCACTTTTATCTGACTTTTTCCAGTTCTGAGCTCACTTCTATCTCGCTTTTCCCAGTTCTGACCAGTTTCATGACAATGAAATCCCATTTCATTCCCCTTATTCCATTATTATTACGCCATATTATTATTATTATTACTATTATTATTCTATGTCACTCCCTTGTTTTCTACCCCACCCATTTCCTTTCCTTCAGCCCTGACTCTTACCCCATTTTCCGGCTGCAGATCCCATTTTCACCCCGTTTTTCCGTGCTCTGCCCCCATTTCACCCCTTTCCCCCGGATTTTCACCCCTTTCCCTGTCCCCCTTTGCCCCCAGACCCTGGAGCAGATGCTGGAGTCGGTGCGGAGCGGGAAGCCGATCGACCGGGCCGAGATTCCCCCTCCTGTGGCTCTGGGGAAGGCAGCTGGGACCCCTGGGCTGCCTCCCCCCGTGAGCCCCGAGCCCCCAGCGCAGCCCCCAGCCCCTGCCCAGCCTCCCCCAGCCCCGGATCCCTGCCCGGATCCCTGCCCGGATCCCGGCTCGGTGCCGGCGCTCCGGCTGCGCCTCCAGGAGCTGCAGAAGGAAGCCCTGGTGGCCAAACGCCGTGGGGACAATGCCACGGCCCTGGAGCACTTCAGGGCGGCCAAGGTACGCCCAGGATTCCTGGAATCCCCCCCAGATCCCTTCTCTTTCCCCAGAATTCCCATTTTCCTGTGGTTTTCCAGAGGCTGGAGGCGCAGCTGGAGGCGCTGGGGCAAGGCCGGGCTCCGCCAGCCCCGGGTGAGACCCCGACTCCGATAGAAGGGGTGGAACCCCCGGTTCAAACCCCCCGTTTTGGGGGTCCTGGTGGGATCTGGCTGCTCCTTTCCTGCAGATCCACAGCCAGAGGAGCCGAGGGATCCGCCGGCGAGGGATACACCAGCAAGGGACCCACCAGCGAGGGGTCCGCCGGCCACCAGCCCAGGTCAGCTCCCTCCTGGGAGGGGGAACGGGGAGGAAAAGGGGGATTTGTTGGGATTTCCCCGTTTGTGCCCACCCCAGAGCCCCCCCGGGCGCCGCGGGACGTGCGGGAGGCGCTGGAGCAGCGCATGGAGCGGTACCGGGTGGCTGCGGGCCAGGCCAAGGACAGCGGGGACGCCAGGAAGGCTCGGATGCACGAGAGGATCGTCAAGGTGGGAGGGCTGCAGCCTTGAGGGGATCCCAGCCCTGAGGGGGATCCCAGCCCTGAGGGGGATCCCAGTTCCAGAATGGGAATCCCAACCCTGAGGGGGATCCCAGCCCTGAGGGGATCCCAGTTCCAGAATGGGGATCCCAGTTCCAGAATGGGGATCCCAGCCCTGAGGGGGATCCCAGTTCCAGAATGGGGATCCCAGCCCTGAGGGGGATCCCAGCCCTGAGGGGATCCCAGCCCTGAGGGGATCCCA